AGTCCCCCCAACTTGAGCCCTGTTGGGCTTATAAAGTATGCAGCTCCCAGCCTCAGCCCACTCACGGCCCCAAAGTGTCGGTGTGGGCCTGCTGCAATCTGGTCTATGATTGAGACCAGATACCCAAAAAAAAAAAATAATAAAAATAATTTTATTATTATTATTATTATTTTTTTTTTTTTTTTTTTTTTTTTTTTGGTCTTAACCATAGACCAGATACATGTAGTGGGTCCGGCCCACGAGCAAAAAAATTCCGACCGGATTTTGGCAAAAAAAGTCAGTTTTGATTTCGTTCAAAAAATATAGTATGTCCGTTTTGACGAAATGGCTGTTAAGGGGGTTCGACCCATTGGTTAGGGAAGCGTCTCTCCTGGGGTTCTTCGAGTTGCGCTCGTATTATAGGCGAGTCGGGGACTGGGACGAGGACGAGCAAGAGGAGCATCAGCAGGAAGACTGGCCTGAGGAACCGTTATTCGTCGACGAAGAGGAAATGTGGGAAGTGCGATGGCCACGGTTGGGGGCCTAGAGTGAGCTTGGTAAGGAACTCTATGTCGAGGGATGTGCAAATCGGGAATGAGAAGACGATAGAAGATGGGAAATGGTTGGTTACTGCCCTAGGATTACAGCTGCCCTTGACGCCTTAGTCCCCTTTACTAGTGGGGGGGTCTTCCCTTACAAAATAGAGAGCTGTATATCTCTAGAAGAAAGTCATGCTCCGGGAAAAGCTTATGTCTTGGTAATAAAGCATCTCGACACGGGAGGATACGACATCCGCCCATACGTACCGCTGCTAAGGGAGAGAGGGACGGATCGCGAGTCGCTTAAGAACTGTATTAGAAACATAATCAGTAAGGAAAGGAAGGAGTTAGAGAAGAAGGGGAAAGAGGTGTTTAGTGACGTGAACCCTGTGCTGTTTTACGGTATTTTCGAACCTAGTCTACCCAACAGTTTTACTGACGGCAGGAACTGGGAGCCTATAATTAATATGGCGCTCGGAGCAAGGAGTTGGGGTTAGTGAGGATGCCGGGTCTTAGGGAACAGTTCTCCTTCGGGGTCATAGTAGAAGGGAGAATGGTAAAGATTGAGGGCACCCTCCGAATTCCTAATATAGATCTCTTTGGGTTTGAAGAGCTTGAACTCATTCAAACTTATTTGGATCGTATGAGGGAGTCGGCTTTGAGGATAATTACCAACCAAACCGAGATCAGTTATCTACTGAAGGTAGAAAGACTTGGAACCTTCGGGAGGAAATACTATCGTCTGGTCAGGGAACGAGTCCGGTTGTGTTAGGCGGGCGTGACAAAAATGCTGGACCATGAACGAGTAAGGCATAAGAAGTCTGCAAAGAAACTTGAGGAGTGGGATAACAAGATCATCGCTGGGAACCGACCGTCGCAGGAGAAGTTTGATGCGGTGTGTGCATACTTGAGTACCCTAGGAAGAAGAGAGGAGTTTTCGTAGGAGGTGGAACCTTATGAGATGGTCGACAGCGCATAGGAATTAAGTCGCCTCTATGTTATGACCGTGCGCTTCCTAGGGACTGAGGTAAGAGACGTAGGCATTTACTTACCAACGGAGAGGTCAGAAGATTTATTGTACGGGCGTTGCTGGCAAAGAGCGAGAGAAGTGGTAGAGGACGAGAAGGATAGGCTCCTTTCCTCAAGGAAAAAAGTCGCTTGGAGTACCGAAATCAGGATTTTTGAAGACTTACCTAGGCCGCGAATTCCTTACGAAGCATTGATAGAGGTCGGTCGAGGTCTAATAGTTGATTTCATAAACCGGCACCATAACCCGAATGGCCAGAGGGAACGAGAATAGCCAGCCTGGGGGGGATATATCAAGTGAAGTAAGACAACGTGACCGTGATAGGTGGAGGTCCCAAGAACTGCTCAGACTTTTAACGGAATGGACCCAGGAGGACTTGCATACTCTAGGCACGTCTATCTGTAGGAGAGCTCGATCTGATGAAACAAGGTTGATAGAGATTAAGAGAGGAACCTCTTGCCTACGAGATCAAGAAGGGGAACTCTACCTTGACACATGTTTGTTCGGAGTAGAAGGTGAGCGCGAGATAAGAGATGACAGAGGAAGATTGATTGGAGTCATGAGGGCAGTGAAGGATTAGTGCAAGGAAGACCAAGAGGGAGAGTGCTTCCAAGACCAAGAGCAGGATTAGAAGCCATGCTAGGAGAGGTGACCAAGGATGAGGAGGAGTAAGAGACTAGATGAAGGGAAGTCGAGGAAGTTGGTCCGTTCCCTTAACTCTATATCGAAGAAAGCAGTAATCCCCTATGAGATCGTGAGATATGAAGGTCTCAAGAGTCAGGGATGGGGGCTTGATGGTATGTATGTCATTACGTACTACTTCATCATCCTTGATGAGTATGACGTGGGAATATACGTGCCACAACATAGGTTTAAGGAAGACGAAAAATGTCATTGTTGGCAACGGGCGTCGAACATAGTCCATGACGAGAAGAGAAGACTCCAATGACTAAGGGCGAATTTCTTGGAGTACCTACGTTAGGCCTTTCATCGGAATACCGTCCCCGCCAGTTGAAGGGCTTACGCTCGCTAACAATGAATGGTCAGCCGTAATAGACCTCGTATGGAAGGTTAAGAGGGGGCGACACGAACTCATCGATGTCAGGAGCAGTGACTGAAGAGGAAGAGGTGAATCGAGTATCATTCGCTGGCAGAGTGACATCAGTCATTAGAATTCGGTCGACCAGGTCTCTAGACGAACAGGGTTGCGAACAACTTGCTCGAAGGGCAATTGAGAGGGAGAGGCCTAGGATTCTGGAGCTGGTTAGAGCAGAGAGAAGAATAATCTATGATGTGATGGTTTGGTCACAAGGATGGCTGAGGTACGAAGTGGGGAAAGACGAGACAGTCCAAGAAGCAGAATCCCGCGTGTAAGAGGGAGTGACGAGAAAATTAATTCGCTGCTTGAAGCATACTCGGACCTGGTGAACGATAAGATAGTACAACTGGTAGACGGATATAAGGAGTGGGGCGGCTCGATGAATGTGCAAAAATTACAGGCGCTCGAGCGAAGAGTGGGGAGACTGGCCTTAATCTATAAGGAGGAAAGAGAAAGGATAATAAACTGGAAGGAGGAATTTCTGGCCAAGAGGATAAAGAAGATCCGCAAAGAAAACGAAGAAAAGAGGAATGGTTAGTGGTGAAGGCGAGGCCAGGAAGTATCGACTAATCTGTGGGGCGAAAATTGAAGGACCCTTAGTGAGGGCAAGGGTAAAAGTTATATATATCGAGAGGTTGAATCAGGAAGAAGAAGCTGAGGCGACCAGAAGAGCGATCAAAGAAGCTAGGATTTGTGCTATCTGAAAGGCAGCTGACGAGCTTCAAGTGGCAAAAATCGATATCTGTACGACACCGTTTGTAGGAGAAGGATTTTTCAGGGAGTGGAGAGAGATCATAGCAGAAACAAGGACCAGACTAAGGAAGAACGTTCGCGAGCCTGAGGAACTTTCTAGCGACGTGATTGACGTAGTTTCCTTGAGAACCTTGGAAGCTAACTCGCGGTATACAAAAGTCGTGTTGACCACCGCTTTAGTAATTAGGGCGGAATGACGAGACACAGATTTCGAAGCGCTGTTGGAACTGTTGGCCGACTCCACTGAAAAGATCCTAGCCGCGTGGAGAAGTGTGGCCGAAAGCTAGACAGAGTGTTCAAGGATTAGTTAGGAAAGATGGACGGAGAAAGAGCTTACCTAACCTCGATAGGAGGAGAAGTGAAACACAGGAATCAAGAACAAATAGCCCAGACAGAAAAATGAGCGTCGACGTGGACAACGACGCGGAGAGAATAAGGAGGGTCTTAAGAGAGCTAGACACTCGTGTCAAGGAACCAGAGGGACGAAGCTCCAGGAGCGAAGGCTGGAGGAAAGAAGCTTTGAGCAGGACAAAGATGACAAGGTTTGTCGATCCTGGGGTAAGAGAACCTCAAAGAGAGGTCGCGAGCGAGCCTTACAGGAGGGGACCTCATTCCATGGCGTATGCGCCAGACACTTATGTGTCTCCCTTCCTAGGGGCCTCACCGTTACAGTCTCCCGGGCTGGCTGGGATTCAGACAATCTTTATAGAGAAGAATATCACGGAATTCCTAGATGATTGGGAAGTGTTAGGAATGCGAGCAGAATGGAGTGATCAAGGTATGATACTGAACTTCCTCCACCATACGGCCCCAAAGATAGACCGTGAAGTGAGGGACGTTATCCCAGATAATTGGCGTTGGTTGGCGTTCAGGGAGAGAGTTGCCAGAGTCTTCGCATGTGACGAGACCTCTTACTCAATAGACGACTTAAAAAGGATGAAGAAGCAAGAAGACGAGAGTTTAGTGCCGTTTGCAAGGAGATACGAGAAGGCGTCTAATCCCCTGGTAGAAGGAGGGTTTATGGGGGAGATAGAGCGATGCGGGATATTTTTAGGGTTCTTATCCCGAGAGAAACGCGATAAGATCATGAGGGATCTTCCGTCCAGGGTGGTGTTCGGTCAAGTCAAGCTTTTAGTCCATGATACAGAGGGACAAAGCGCTAAAGCACACCTCGCTAGGATCCTCGACAAACTAGGGAAGGAAGTAACTGCGGACAATGGGGGAGGAAGACCTCAGTATGAGGATAGAAGAACCCGAATTGAAGGAAGAGATGTCGGCAAACAGGCTCGCCTAGAAGGGGGGAGTCGATCAGAGGCGATAACGATTGGAAGAAAGAAGGAAGATGAGATTGGAAAAGGAACCACGAAGAATGGGGGACTTCTTCCAAGTGGTCTAACATTAAAGATAGTCGGTGGAAGCCGAAGGAAGAGATAGAGGTTAGGAGGTCTAAAAGACGAGAGGAGGAGATGGTGAAACAGATAGAAGTTCTAAAGGCGAAAGTGAAGAAGTTACAAAGTAGTAATCAAAGAAAGGAAGAGACCTCGACTCGAGCCGCCCCTCGAACGGAGAATCGCGGGGACCCTAGTCCGAAGCGAACTTGGAATAGTAAGGCCTGTATCTACTGTGGGGATGAGGACCACCAAAAGAGAGATTGTCGTGCGATGATGAAAGCCCTGATGGAAGGCATCATCGAGTTGGATGATAGGAAGTATGTGATGTGGGCGGATGATGGGAAGTCAGTGCCCTTCTTACCCTCGATGAAGATCAATGTAGATATCAGGAGGCGAAGGATGAATGAGGCAAAGGGGAAACAAGCACAAGAGTCAGCGGCAGCGAAGGTTTCCCGGGTGACATTTGAGGAGGATCTCGAGGGGCTACCGGAAAGTCCTAGGATGAGGATTTCTTCTATTAAGTTTGAAGATACCAAGGATAATGGTGAAGTTTACGTTTGCACTCAGGATGTTGGCGAATCGAATAAAGGAAAGAAAGAAGACCAAGACCAACCAATGACGGACGAACAGGTGGAGTCGCCTAAGTCACCTCAGTCTCCTAGAAAAAGAGGGGCCAAGAAGTTTCAGTTGAAAAGTTCACTGGATGAGGTAGATTTGAGGGAGCCGTTAAGGAGGGCTATGGATATGCCCATTCCTATTACCTTGAAAGAGTTCATAGCCAGTTGTGGACCAGCGCGAGATGAACTAATAGGAATGATGAAGAAGGCTAAGGTGCCATTCGGGGAGACTGCGGCTTCAAGCGAGCCGAAGATAGAAACGAAGGCATCTATTCTAGCGGCGGAGAAAGGAAGAGTAGAACATGAAGAAACCAATGATGATGGAGGCGATTATTTTTATGTTCTTCGTAGCGGGAAGTTGAACGCCACCGTCAATGGGATAAGGATGGAAGCTATAGTAGACGACGGGTCTGAGTCTACCGTCTGTGAGGATAAAGTGGCCCGAAAGCTGGGTCTAGAGGTGGACAGGAGTGTAGCCATGACCATGGTATCAGCCAACAAGCTAAAGCAGCCAGCCCTAGGGGTGTGTCATAAAGCCAAGGTCGTAGTCACTGGGGTCGAGGCCACTCTACCTGTATTCACAGTTGAACACTGCTCGTCGGCGCTAATCCTTGGACGAACATGGCTGACACGTGTCAATGCCACCACCGAGAATAAGCGTGATGGGAGCCAGACGGTGACCATTGACGGGCCCGAGGGAAGCAGAGTCACCCTAAAAACTGTGAATGAATTTGACAAACGTCATAAGGTTTCCCTACAGAACAATGGACTGTTAAAAACGAAAAGTTGTCAGATGATTCCCGAGGAAGTCACTCTTGGGCCGCATAAAGTGAAAGGAGTGAAGATTGAAGTTGAGGACTTGGAGGACAGGTACGTGGTCGATGGAATGGCTTATGAGAAGGAGGTTGACGACGATGAGTTTGGTGGGTGCATGAACCTATCTTTTTTGGAGAAATTCCTCCACACAGCGGGGGAAAAAGATACAAAACAGTAGCACAAAAAGTCAAGCCTGCCGCGGTCAGCCGTGATAGGATCGGGGAGATAGAAATCACTAAGGAAGAGATCACTCAGATGATTAGGGAGCGAAAGGCGACTGAAGGGCAATGCATTACCGATGACAGGATAAAGGGGATGGACATAGGTGACGGAAACATAACTAAAGAAGAGAGGGAGTTGATAATAGGCACCTTAAGAGCGTGCGACAAGGCAGTAGCCTTTTCTGACGCGGAAAGAGGAAGGATAGATCCCACATATGCTAAGCCCGCAAGGATCTATACGGTGCCGCACGTGCCGTGGAATGATGCCGGGTGAAAGTGCGCGCAAAAGGAGAAAGAGATAATAGTGGATTTCTTAAAGGAAAAGATAAGAACGTTCGTAACAGAACCATGTGAGAGCGCTTACGCCAACATATGTTTTTTTCTTCGGAAGTCGAATGAGAAGCTCCGATAGATACAAGACCTCCAGAAAACGAATAAGGTTACAGTTAGGGACGTCGGATCTATTCCAAATGCAGATTTTCTCTCTGAAGGAGCGGCGGGACGCTCGATTTACTCGGTCTGCGAACTTTTCTCAGGCTACTACAAGATTCCGCTTGATTATCGAGACCGGCATCTAACTGCAATGCACACGTCGTTAGGGCTAATACAGATGATAGTGGTGCCAATGGGATGGACTAATGGCGTGGCGGTCTTCCAAAGAGCAATGGTGGCAGTCTTAGGAGAGCTTATACCGAATTTGGTAGAGGTCTTCCTGGATGATTTTCCAATCAAAGGACCCTATGAGAAGGACGAGACTGAGGTGAGGCCTAGGGTAAGGAAGTTCATCGCTACTCACACTGAAGATATTAAGAAGGTGCTAGTGAAGTTGGAAGATGCTAATCTAACCGTAAGCGAGACTAAGAGTAGGTGGGCAGTGTCTTCTCTAAAGATGGTAGGTTTCATCTGTGACAAGGATAGTAGGAGACCGGACCCCGCAAAGTTAGAGAAGCTTATGAACTGGCCTACTCCGTTACGACATATTACCGATATACATCAGTTTCTGGGGGGAGGCGGGTTTTGGAAGAACTTTATAAAGGGCTATGCTGGAAAAGCTGAACCGCTAAGAAGGCTCTTCCGCAAAGGAGTGAAATGGAGTTGGACGAGTGAGCAAGAGGATACTGTGAGAGCCGTAAAGGATGAATTCAAAGAAGGGGGACAAGTCCTCGGTGTTCCTTACTTTGAGGACGAGGAGAAGTGACCGTTTGTAGTATGCACGAATGCGGGACCTGCCTCAGTTGGGGGAGTCTTAGCTCAGAAAGACCAGGAGGGCCGTGAGAGACCTCTTAGATTCGAGAGTAAGACCTTAAACGCCACGGGAAGGAACTACCCACAGTTTAAGAAAGAAGTTCTAGGGGTGCTTCACTGCCTGAATGTCTTTCGTCATTACATTTACGGTTGAAGATTTGTACTGAGGGTTGACCCAACGGTGGTAGCGACCGTCCTACAGAAATATTTTCCGTTGACGGATCCAACAATTGCTAGATGGTTCATGCATGTAAGAATGTTCGACTATGTGATGGAACGAATATCGGGAGCTAAGAATTCGGTTGCTGATGACTGGTTACGAATTTCGTTGGAAGAAGGGAACCTAGGATCGCCGGGAGGAGTTGACAAGTTTTTACAGATGGAGATAGGTTCTCTAAGAGTAGAGACAAGTGCGGTCAGGACTTCGCTGTTCCTCGAGAACCTCTACACGGGAAAATACCACCGGATAGGGCGGTATATCATAGGTGAGGCCGAGATGGATGACAAGGTTAGGAAGGAGGCTCAACAATATTGCCTAAGGGCGGGTCACCTCTTCAAGAGGCCACCTAAGAACGGGATGCCAATGAGGGTCGTCTATGACGAGGGTGAGCAATAAGATATAATAGCGAAACTTCACGACGGAGTCGTTAGGGGAAACAGAGGAGTGAAAGGAACCTTTGAGAAGGTCAGGAACCTTTATTGGTGGGATGGTCTATATAGGGATGTGGAAGCGTATTGTCTCACATGCATGGAGTGTCAGAAAAGGGCTGTGGTTAGGTATAAGGAACCACTGTTTCCTTTGTATCCTACAGTCGTAAGTCAAGAAGTTCACGTGGATTTAGTTAAGATGCCCAAAGGAGAAGGGGGAATAAATTATATCATGGACATTAGGGATGACTTGACCGGGTTTGTCAAGGCATGACCATTAAAGCAGAAAACAGGCAAGGCTGTTAGTGGATATCTAACGGAGTATATCACTCGATACGGTTGTGTGGGGAAGATTGTTATGGATAGGGGGTCAGAATTTATGGCCAAAGAAGTCCAGGAACTGCTCCAGAAGGCGGGGATACGGGTGTTGCTATCTACGGCGTACCATCCCCAAACTAACGCTCCCATAGAGAGAGGACATCAGTCTCTAGTGAATGTGCTCGCCAAATGGTGCGAAGGTAGGGAGAAGATGTGGCCTAGGTACCTAAGATTCGCTGTCTGGGCGGATAATATCACCATTTGATCAACTACGGGGTATCCACCCTACACTTTGTGGTTTGGCAGACAGTGCCCCTTACCAATAGAATTCCATATCGATTCTTGGCAGACGATTGACTGGGAAGAAGTCTCCACTAGAGAACAGTTGTTAACCGCTAGAGTGAAACAAATAGCCGAGACTCTTGAGGATAGCACCCTGGATGCTATGGAAAAGCTAAAGATCCAGAGGTGAAAGGAGAAGGAGAGATGGGATAAGCATATCCGAGTCAGGCAAAAAGGGATACCCAAGGGAGGTCTAGTCTTGCTTTACGATTCTTCGTTAGAAAGGACTTGGACCGGGAAGTTAGCGAACCGATGGATGGGGCCCTATCGTGTGGTGAAGAGGCTGGAAGGTGGAGCCTATCTGATAGAGGAACTAGATAAAGCTAGGTGGGCAGAACCAGTATCAGGTGCCCGCTTAAAAGTCTTTAAGGAACGAAAGGAGCCTACCTTGCATCTTCGGAAGGATAAAGAGAAAGAAGAAGTCGACAAGCGACTAGAAGGACGTTTGGAGAAGCGCGAAGCAGACCCTACAACGGGGGTCACTCATGAGATGGGAGAGTCCTCTAACATGTCTACAAGAAAAGGGAAAGAGAAGGCTCTAGGGGTCAAGGGTAGACGATGAAAAGGGCCGAAGAAGAAGAAGTGCGAAGTCGTAGAATCGACCGGGTTGAGGAAGGAAAAGAAGCGAAAGGGCAAGGAGACTATTAAGGCCATACTGATAGTGGACAAGACAGAGAGTCAGTGCCGCTAGGAGAACAGGCAACGGAGGTCCACCAACCGATTAGGGGTCAAAAAGAGATTAGTTAAGAAGAAGCAAAGAAAGAAGAAAAAGCAACAAAAAGGGATTCGGTGAGGAAAAAGAAGACAATCTTCAATTGATGGGTATAGATTAGGAGTCAGTTTTTCTCCTCCCTTTCCCTGGATATACCCAGATTGTTCGCCGGGTACGTTGAGAATGGGGGGGGGGGCTGCTGTCGGGTGGCTCCAACCCTACGCCGCCCTTTACTTCTCTTACAAGGGCGCGCTACAAGGATTCTATTTGTTGGTTTCTACCTGACAGAAGCTCACCGACCACGGGTAAAATGTCACGACAAGTTGACGGAACGAGTGGCCGGCCTACGACATTCAGTTCAAACGGGCTCGAGCGTTGAAGAGCGGTAATTTTGCAGAGAGGACCTAAGACGGTCGAGACGATACTAGTGGCCGGCGAAATGGTCGAGGGAATGGAAGCATCGGGCGTTTATCGTGAGGCTACGGGCGTTTTGAGCGGTGACGGTGTCCGGAGTTGCCTCGACACCCTGCGTGAACGAGCGGTGGGATCGGGCCTACGTGGGGGCCTCGACACTAAGAGGAGAACGGTGCGGGCCTAGGACTCGGAGGTGGGCCTCCCGGCCTAGAATTTTGGGAGGGCCCGCGTGACTTTTACGAGGGGGGCTGGTACCACTTATGAGTGGGGACCACCAAGGCCGAGATAGGCCCGCGGCAGGTTCGGGAATAGGTCCTATACCGGGGCGCTGCAAAAGGCCCGGTTCCCGACAAAAAGGGCCCCCTCGACAAACACTGTTCGGGGGCCTAATCAGGCCCGGACGCAGGTTCGGTACCAGGGTGCTGCAACTGCAGCAGGCCCACGCCGACACTTTGGGGCCGTGAGTGGGCTGAGGCTGGGAGCTGCATACTTTATAAGCCCAACAGGGCTCAAGTTGGGGGGACTTCTCGCATACGGGGCAAGGTGCACTGGACACTTTCCGCAGGCGCGAACTGGAGACACACACAGAGCTCCCGCACGTGTGGGGGACGCCCTATGGAACAGGTGCACGGAACAGACGACGGGAGAGACCATCACACACGGGAATGCAAGCACTCGGAGTGTGCACGGACATGCACCGACGGAAGACAGACTTGGGATATCCTCGTGTGGGGGGGGTGCGAACAGGGCGCCTATACGTACAAGAGACTTCACGCATCCACGGGGGGAAGGGCGTGTACGGGACACGCACACGGAATGCTAGGCGCGTTGGACATGTCGATAGGAGACCAGCACGCTCGGGACACACGAGTGCGCGAGACGCATGTTCGATCTGAGACAGGTGGAGGTGAAAGGAGCTAACTTTCGACGTACACAAACGGGAGCATGCGGGGCGAGAGACGCGCTGGAGAGGGCACTTCTCGCACGCGCAACCCAAGACGCACATGGCGGAGGACACTCCGCGGGGGCTGAGTACCGGCGCTCAACGGTGGAACAGAGGTGTGTCCGCGTATCTGCGCACGGAGAAAGGGAGCGGGGATAGCTCACAACCGCGCGCAACTGCGTGCTCCCGTGCTCTCGCACACACAGTGAAAGGGAAAAGGGGGTTGGGCTAACGGGGAGTCCGGGACTGCATACAGCCATCCGCGCACCCGCGAGCACGCGGGATCAAGTACGCGACTGCGTACAGCCACCCGCTCGCTAGTACAAGACTACGTACGACCATCTGGGCGCCCGCGAGCACGCGCGTTCAAGTGCGCAAGTGAACGGTCATCCGCGCACCTGCAAGCACTCGCGTTCAAGCGCGCAACTGTGTACAGTTATCTGCGCGCTCACGAGCACGCGCGTTCGATCGTGCGACTGTGT